ACGTCCCTGCCGAGCCCCGGGAGAGCAGCGGCCGCCGCCGCCGCCGCGCCGCGTCCCTTCAGCCGACCCGCGGGGCGGGGCCGCGCCGCGCGTGCGCACCGCGTGCGCACCGCCCGCAGCGGGGCGGGGGGGCAGGTGCGCACGGTCCCGCCAGCGCCCCCTGGCGGCCGGACGGGAGCGTGTTGGGGTGACCTCCGTGAGGGGAGCGGGGCCGGGGGGGAGACTCCCCCGGGCTGTGGCAGGAGTTCCACTCATCGCCTGGAAGGGAGGGTTAAAACATCTCTTCTGTTCAAGGGCAGGCGAGGACAGGGCTGTCGAAAGTCTGAGTGTTTTGTTGCCGTAAAGGCAACACGAGGAAGTTAATAATTCTGCATTTAATGGCATGCAGGAACGGAGGCACGGGATTGCACAATTAAAAATGAGAAAATGAAAGATATGTCGGATGATTATCCAGCAATTTTCATTCATAGGGTATGCATTGCTCCAGATCAGGTTCTGAGACTGAACTCTACACACAAAATTTCTGGAATCAGGCCATACAGAGGGCTCACCTGCTAAAAAGAGGTGTTTTTCGAGCTCTGCTAGTTTGTCTGATAAAGTGCTTTTTCTACAACCTCTCATCTTGGCTTGCCTTAAGCCATCATTACTGCCACGCTGACACAAGCACGGCACTTAGTGCAATTTTCCAGCTTTTCAGAGGTTAATGTGCAGCCTTCACATTTTTCCTTTGAAGTCCTGGTCTGTACTGTTTTGTGTGTCCGATGTCTTTAAAGGCAATAGGCAAAATGTTATAAAGCTGCTATAAATATGACTCCATTTTACTGGTCTGATTACAGTGCCAAAAAATATGCTGCAAGTGACAGCAGTACTGGCTGGACAACATAATTTCCTTGGTGGTAGTGCAGCTGAACTGAACCGTGTGCTGCATGGTGAGGAACTTTAGCAAAAAACTAATGTAAACAGGATCTTATCCCATTCATCAGTTAAGGAATCGAGGTCGCATTCCAGTCAATAATTGAAACTTTAATTATCTTGACAGCTTTCCACTGAACGTGAAAGAATCCTGTTCGGCCAGTCCTGCAGGACATAGCTGCAGATGAATAATGCTCTCTGTGACACATTCCCCATCAAGCAAGAAGTTCATTGAAAGCAAAACAATATGACAAAGAAGATGTCAAAAGGCAAATGTACCAATGCCATTCCTCATAAAATAAATACAATATCTATAAATAGTATTATCTTCCAAATTACTTTTCAGTATGTAAATCTACACTGACTACAAGGGGGCTCAGGCAGAAAAACTGGCTACAGAAAATAATAATTTCTAGCTTTTCTGGAAGAAATCTGAAAACCAAGAAACCAAGCAGTGCAAGAAATGGAATATTCAAATAGTAGTTATAATTGGAAGTTTGTCATGAAAAGCCTCATAGAGAAAAGATATTCAGTTTCAGAGCTTGAACCTTTAAATTATTTAATTTGCTAATATTGACATGCAATAGAAGCCAGGCAATGCTATCAGAATACAGGTTTGACAAATTAGGTGCATCAAAGTTCATTAAAAACATGATTGCAAAAGAGCCGTGACAAGTGTAATCAGAAGTTGAAAACAGCCTATTAAGACTTAGTAAACCAACAAGAGTCTATAATTAGGATCTGTAATCCTATAGGTCTTAATCCTGTACAATGACTGTGCTTGGCATGACAATCTGCTATCTTAACCAGGTTAGACATCTTGCATTTCAAGAAATAAAAGCAATACAGTTCCAAAGACATTTGACTGTGCTAAAATTAATCACAGATTAACAACAGATTTATTTTGTCAAGTAGTTCTGTATTTTGCTCTGTATAATACTCAGGCAGCAACAAACCAAGAAAGCATAATTTATATGTTTAAAATTAAAAATTTAAATAAATTGAATTAAATCCAGAGTCATAAATAAGAGAAGTAGCATGGGGGGGGCGGGGGGGAAGAAAAAGATGTTTTACTACTCTATTTTTATCCAGCCCTTGGATGAGCTGCACATCAGTGTCAGGGCAGGGTTACTCCTCCAGGCATCGTGAACTGAGATGCCTGAAGTTATCTGAGGCAAGGGTAACCCCACTAGCGAGGGAACAGTCAAGACAAGGATTCATCTGTTTATTTTGAACTCCTTAGTGTGGTTAACTGCCCCAAATCAGAAATTCTCCAGCTAGCTAGAATGCTGAATAGGTATCTTGCACAGACTTGGCCACAGCAATCTATATACTTATAATTGACAGTCTCACTCATGTAGCTTCTCTCCAGTCATACTGGTGCAAGACATGACAAACACCATTGCAAACAGTTCTTGCACTGCACAGAGTTCCCCTGAACTCCACCTCTGTCTATCTGTGTCTTCTGTTGCATTTGAACCATCTGCCTGAGAGACTATCTTCAAACATGGCTGTTTCCTTTCCTAATAGTTACAGCCCACAGGACCTAGGAAACCCGTTTCAGGGAGGAAAAAATGCAAAAGACAAAGGTAGTTCACAAGAAGGTAGTCTGAGACCATGGCAGGTTTCTCTGTTGAAGGCAAGGATGGCTGTAGGGCTTTAAAGAAACCAAGTACATAATTTCTCTTTTATCTGAATTTAGTTAAATTTAATTTCTCACCTGTACACAGAAGCAGAAATGCCAATGAATTTTTTCCTCCTAGAGGTTGGGAAGACTAAACTAATGAAGTGGTTGTTGTCTTTGTAGATGTTGGAACATGTAGTAGGGGAAGATGTCCCAATAATTTCATGGATAAATAAAGCAAATAAACTTTGAAATCTCATTTTCTCTTTGCTTATGGTGCTTCCTACTTCTTTATTATTTTTTTAATATTGAATAAATTGTAATTATTACCTCCCTTTCTATGAAGATGTTATGAAACAATAAACTCAAGAAAACTAAAGGTTAAATCTATTAATAGTAGTCACATGTGCATTGCAACCCCATAGTAGAGTGAAATGAAATAAAGAATGATCCACTACATACAAAACCAGTACAGAGACTATAAGTCTTATCTATTTTAGAAATTTTTCCCCACTTCTACTAGATCAGCTAAACTAGTGCTAGCAGTTTTGGGAACCATAGTTCCCCAGTCAGGCGTATTTGTTCAATGTTTAGCAAAGCATTTGGAAAGTAAATCTAATCAGTACATTGAAATAAATAAGCATCCACCTTATGGGAGTCCTAAAAACTTATCTCTATTCTGCTTTCTTTGTTCAACTGATAGAATGTTAAAACCAGTGAGGTCTGTATTTTTCTTCAAATCTACCCACTAAGAAAGCCCCAAAATAAAAGAAAACAAGTAGGATGGATATTAACTGTTCCTGAAGTTCCTTCTCGAAACTTGCAGTGGTAGAAGACAACACAGCCTCCCTAAGCAGTGCATTCCAGTGCTGAACTAGCCTTGGAGTTAGAAGTATTTTTCAAAGTCTAACCTAATCTCCTTTGCTGCAGTGTAGGAAAAGAGGTAATGAGCTTGTCTCAGTGGATACAGGAAGCAACCACCTTCAGGGTATTTGATAGCATCCCTCCATTTTCTCAAAAAATAAACACAGTTATTTTAATCTTTCCTCATAGATGATGTTCTTTAGATCTCCAGTTATTTTTATTATTCTCTCTGTGTTTCTTTCTGTGGGTCTGCGTCAGAATAGTGCACAAATCTGGGCACAACACTCCAGCTAAGGTCTGACCAGCATTGGCTTTAGGATATCACACACCTGCTTGTACATTGCAGCAAAGATCCCTTGCGTTTTCTCTTATGGCAGCAGAATGCTGCTTAACCAGTCCTTCTCCAACTTGTGACTTCACTTGTGAGCTTTTTTCTACATCCATTGATTCTTACTGAATTCTAATCTTGTTCTGAGAAAAAAATGTTTATGGTCCTTCATATCCTGAAGATTTGAAAAGTGCACTCTCTATTCCATAAGCTAAGTCATTAGTCAAAATATTGCATGTTATCAGAAGCAGAAGGAACCTCTGAGCTGAGGTGCTCTTCTTTAACAATTGGCCATCTAAAACCGTGTCTTTTCAGTAGTTTATGCCGAACAACGTACCCCTCCCTTTCGTATGAGGTGTCATAGGAGGGAATTTCAAAAGCCTTACCAAACTCCATCTGTAGATATGTTGATTCTTTCCTATTTGTCTTCAAATGATGTGCTCAAGTCATGCAACAAATCTATTACAGCATCAAATCCTCAAACTACTTCATAGTCTTCACCTCTGTTATCAGTTATCGCCTCTGTTGTCAATGCACCAAATCAGTGTCAGAAATAAGAGCTTAAAATTATGTCTAAAATTAAAGCCCTGTATTCATTAACTGAAAGTCAAGGCTTGAATACCAAAAAATATAAACTTGGGAAATAAATTCCATTTATACACAGCTTATATCTATACACAGCCTGCAGAACATTGACACAATACAAAAAGAATGGCACATTCTTTACTGATTTTAAAAAAAAACCAACAACACAAAACTTGTTTGAATACACAGAGCACAGCCTTATCAGGGAAGATACAAATTAATAAAGTATTATTAACTATTAAATGACAGGGATTAATAAGAAATTTCCTTTTCAAGCACATTAGTTTACAATTGTCCTCTTTGACCATGAGACTGATTCTACAAACACGCTCCCTAACCAGACAGATTCTGCTGTTGAATATGAAATAAATAATTCCTGTAAGTTTTTTGAAGGTGCTCATAAATGTAACAATACTAAGTAGAAGAAACATAAAGACTGAAATGGCCTTAGACCAACTTATGTAAGGACTGACATGTGGTTCCATTTATCTTTAGAAGCAAGCCAGGGATGGATCCAGAGTGTGGTTAAAAATAGTACAACATGTTCATTCCTAGTTGGAAGACAGCAGAGATGTCAAACCTGAATTCAGAAATCGGAAAATAAAATTACAAAATACATTTTCACCTGAAATTTAACTCTCCAAAATCCAAACAAACTCTGTAGCCCTGACATACCTGCAGTTAAAACTCAAGAATTCTTTTAGTTGATGAGACTTCAAAGCCACCTCCACCAAATACTGCAAATAAAAGCAGTGAAAAGCATAGGGTGAGAAT